GAATTCAGCTAGGGGCTTTTGGTGAAAGGTAATGTATGATGGGTTTTTTACTTATAAACCTGGCCATTTAAAAAAAAATAGGATAATAGCCCACATGCCAGCTACGTTTAGTCCTCACAGTTGGGATTTTCCCGTGTTTCTTGCCATTAGACCTCAACTCAGTCTTGCCTAATGATCTGAACTCCTCTCCGATTGTAATCTAGAGGACTACCGATGAATTAATTTGGCCTGCTTGATCAACATGCCGCCCAATTTATTTACAGCCTGTCTACTTACAACTTTGTTGATTTACCAGCGGATGTTCAAATTATCTTCCAAATCGGAGTACATTAATTGTCATTACGCCTTTAGCAGCCTTGGAGATAGTGGCAGCCTATGACGTCCACACTAAAGAATACCCTTGTCTCTCCAGCCTCCAAAGCTTCTTCGTTTCTGTTTGTAATGTGATAAAAACGAAAAGTTAACCTTTGTATATTCTAGCACGGCTTCATGGAGTTCTGCGCCCCTGAAAATGAAAGCCTGGACCTCTCTTTTGTTTACTTGCTTTTTTGTACAACTTGCATTTCTTCTCTGCTTGTTAAATTTGAACCTGCGGCTTACAGAATGTCACCTTTTGCTCTTGCAACTGCAGCAGCGCTGTTGATAAGACACAATCTGCTCATGAACTAAATAAAGTGAGCATTTATCCCAGACGTGCTCCTAAAAAACAAGTGTGTGCGCGAGACAAATCCTCACTCTGTAACAGTGACCGACAGCCTTGCTTACAGCGTGCGAGGTCGGTCGCAAAACAAGGTGGGAAATAGCCGCGACTCCAACTGCGAATTTAATCTCAGTGCAAAATTGCTGGTCTTGATTATTAAAACAGACGCTTGAATGCATGCTATCATGTCTCAGAGTAATTACACTCTTAAAGCCCTTGTCGTCACATTGTTCCGAATTGAAACCAGCATGAACACGACGATAAGAAATGTCAAATATCGTTTGATCGTACGAACATCGGGCATTCGTGAGCGCCATCTAAAGGCCCAGAGTACACCCGAAATCTGGCGTAAATGGGAGTCAGCGCCGAACATAGCGTGCACGCCCTATTCGCGAGGTTCTCGGGGCGGCGCCGCCGCGGCGCTTTTCTGCCGACCTGACGCCTTTTTCTTGCGCATTCGCGTCGGGAACACACCGGACGCTCGGACAAAGGATAACACTGATGCGCTGTTCAGCTAGCCCCGCAATCAGTCGCATGGAAGCGTTAACGAAGGAGGGAGGTAACACAAATGATTTAAAGGAAGATGCGAACACAACGCGCGCTATTTCAGGCCTCATCGGTTATAGAGCCTCCTGCTTCGTTCATGTTTTCAATGGACGAGAGTGAAAATGGAAAGAAAAACGCTATTTGTTGTTTGTTTATATCACGGAGTCTGTTCTTCTTCTCTGTTTTCCGGTTGTTCCGGTTGTTGCCTCTTTTGAATGATGAATACACACTACCGCCGCCTGCTGGTAAGGAGAGTTATTGCCATTCACGCATACGCAGTTCATACGTGCTCGGCTCGGATTTGCGGTGTGTTCAAGTCATCGGTTCCAGTGCGCGAAGTCGGTAAATACGCAGGAGAGTCCGGCGACGCAACAGTCGGTGTCGGCGTCGGCGACTTCTCAGGTGACTGGCCGGTGTATCTGGGCCTTTAAGCCATCGTATGATCGCCGGTGGAGTTTCTCAGGCTCCGCCAAAAAATTGTCGAAGGACATTGCGAAGGTTCATTTTCGTGTTGAATTCGTGTGTCCGTTTTGCCCTTCGTAAGGCACTCGTGAGGGCATCTTGTCAAATCGTGTGAATCGTATGAACATATTATGTAAATAACCCAATTTGTGTTCTGTGAAACTGAAAAGGATATTACATTGTTTTTGCTACTTTCGTTGCAGTTGTATGTCTTAAATGTAATTTAGGTTAACTTCCTGTTTTATTTAGATGCTTTTATTTTGAAGGCAAGTTTACCCTGTTGACAGGAAGTTGTTGTTGCTATGGAAACAACATGACGGAGATAAGTAATATCTTCTAATCTACATATAAAGACGGAGAAAGTAAAGACTAAAGTGTATGTTTAAATGTTAGCACCCCCCGAAGAGGCACAAGCTCTTACGTTGAGTCTGGATTCTAAATCATCAGTAAAGTCTACGACCATATCTTCGTGTGTGGTTCGGGTGCCAACGTGTGGCCTTCTGTAGGCATCGTACTTGCTTCGGCGGTTGCTTGGCTGTTGACCAAATTCGGGGCCATCTTCGTACGAAATTCACAATTCCATATTCGTGTGTCAATTTTGGGACAGTGTGACAGGGGCTTTAGTGAAAACTGACAAAAATAATTTTAAAATCACTAAACAAAGTGAAGTCCCAATAGAAATAAGAGGATATTTCTTACAGCATGTTTTCCTAACAGTCTTAAACAAACTAGCATCAAACCATTTTTTAATTAGACAATAAAATGCTGACATGCAACAAGGCTACTAGCACCATTTTAACCATATCTCCTATCTCTATCTATCAAGTTTTTTTTTAAACATTTTGCCGCATCGGAGTTGGACAATACAGTGACCTCTGACAACTGCAGTTTTTTTCCTGGATTAAGGTCCATACGTCAGACAAAATAGCTTAAAAAAGGGAGTGCGTT